TAGGTTTCCTCACTCCCACAACCACTGTAGATTTCCTCACTCCCACAACCACTGTAGGTTTCCTCCCTCCACAACCACTGTAGGTTTCCTCACTCTCACAGCCACTGTAGGTTTCCTCAATCCAACAACCAATGTAGGTTTCCTCACTCCACAACCACTGTAGGTTTCCTCACTCTCACAACCACTGTAGGTTTCCTCACTCCCACAACCACTGTAGGTTTCCTCACTCCACAATCAATGTAAGTTTCTTTACTCCCACAACCGCTGTAGATTTCCTCACTCCTACAACCAATATAGGTTTCCTCACTCCCACAACCATTATAGGTTTCCTCACCTCCACAACCACTATAGGTTTCCTCACTCTCACAACCACTTTAGGTTTCCTTACTCCCACAACCACTCTACTCCTACAACCAATATAGGTTTCCTCCCTCTCACAACCAATGTAGGTTTCCTCCCTCCCACAACCATTATAGCTTTCCTCACCTCCACAACCAATGTAGGTTTCCTCACTCCACCATCAATGAAAGTTTCTTTACTCCCACAACCGCTGTAGATTTCCTCACTCCAACAACCACTGTAGGTTTCCTCACTCCCGACTCATCCTCACTCCCACAACCACTATAGGTTTCCTCACCTCCACAACCACTATAGCCTTCCTCACCCCCACAACCACTATAGGTCTCCTCACTCCACAACCACTGTAGGTTTCCTCACTCCCACAACCAATGGAGATTTCCTCACTCCAACAACCACTTTAGGTTTCCTCACTCCCAACTAATGTAGGTTTCCTCACTCCCACAACAACTGTAGGATTCCTCACTCCCACAATCACTATAGGATTACTCACTCCCACAACCACTGAAGGTTTCCTCACTCCCACACCCAATGTAGATTTCCTGACTCCCACAACCACTGTAGGCTTCCTCACTCCCACAACCACGATAGGTTAACTGACCTCCACAACCACTGTAGGTTCCCTCACTCCACAATCAATGTAAGTTTCTTTACTCCCACAACCGCTGTAGATTTCCTCACTCCCACAACAACTGTTGGTTTCCTCACCTCCACAACCACCGAGGTTTCCTCACTCCCACAACATATGTAGGTTTCCTCACTCCCACAACATATGTAGGTTTCCTCACTCCCACACCCAATGTAGATTTCCTCACTCCAACAACCACTTTAGGTTTCCTCACTCCCAACTAATGTAGGTTTCCTCACTCTCAAAACCATTGTAGGTTTCCTCAATCCAACAACCACTGTAGGTTTCCTCAACCCAACAACCAATGTAGGTTTCCCCACTCCACAACCACTGTAGGTTTCCTCACTCCACAACCACTGTAGGTTTCCTCACTCTCACAACCATTGTAGGTTTCCTCAATCCAACAACCAATGTAGGTTTCCTCACTCCACAACCACTAGATGTCCTCACTCCAACAACCAATGTAGATTTCCTCAATCCAAAAACCAATGTAGATTTCCTCACTCCCACAACCAATGTAGGTTTCCTCACCTCCACAACCACCGAGGTTTCCTCACTCCCACAACCACTGTAGATTTTCTCACTCCCACAACCACTGTAGGTTTCCTCACTCCAACAACCAATGTAGATTTCCTCAATCCAAAAGCCAATGTAGATTTCCTCACTCCCACAACCAATGTAGGTTTCCTCACCTCCACAACCACTGTAGGTTTCCTCACTCCACAATCAATGTAAGTTTCTTTACTCCCACAACCACTGTAGATTTCCTCACTCCTACAACCAATGTAGGTTTCCTCACTCCCAAAACCACTATAGGTTTCCTCACCTCCACAACCACTATAGGTTTCCTCACTCTCACAACCAATGTAGGTTTCCTTACTCCCACAACCACTGTAGGTTTCCTCACTCCCACACCCAATGTAGATTTCCTCACTCCCACAACCAATGTAGGTTTACTCACTCCACAACCAATGTAGGTTTCCTCACTCCACAACCAATGTAGATTTCCTCACTCCTACAACCAATGTAGGTTTCCTCTCTCCCAAAACCACTATAGGTTTCCTCACCTCCACAACCACTATAGGCTTCCTCACTCCCACAACCACTATAGGTTTCCTCACCTCCACAACCACTATAGGCTTCCTCACTCCCACAACCACTATAGGTTTCCTCACTCCACAACCACTGTAGGTTTCCTCACTCCCACAACCAATGTAGATTTCCTCACTCCCACAACCACTGTAGGTTTTCTCACCTCCGCAACCACTATAGGTTTTCTCACTCCCACAACCACTGTAGGTTTCCTCACTCCCACAACCAATGTAGGTTTACTCACTCCACAACCAATGTAGGTTTCCTCACTCCCACAACCACTGTAGGTTTCCTCACTCCCACAACCACTATAGGTTTCCTCACACCCACAACCACTGTAGGTTTCCTCACCCCCACAACCACTGTTGGTTTCCTCACCTTCACAACCACTATAGGTTTCCTCACTCTCACAACCAATGTAGGTTTCCTCACTCCACAACCACTGTAGGTTTCCTCACTCCCACAACAACTCTTGGTTTCCTCACCTCCACAACCACTATAGGTTTCCTCACTCCCACAACCACTGTAGGTTTCCTCACTCCCACAACAACTGTTGGTTTCCTCACCTCCACAACCACTATAGGTTTCCTCACTCTCACAACCAATGTAGGTTTCCTTACTCCCACAACCACTGTAGGTTTCCTCACTCCCACAACCACTGTAGGTTTCCTCACTCCCACAACCACTGTAGGTTTCCTCACTCCCGACTCATTGGATAAACCTGCCAGGTAAACATCTATCACATTGGTCAATCGTTGAATTATAACATCATGATACAAAGTGGTGCGATGTCATCTGCAATTGTGACTTCATGTATGATGCATGGCAATAGTTTCCCCTTATCAGAAACAGACATAGGCATTTTCTATGGAAACATATGGTTTTCTCAATATTATATGAACGTTATGGGAGAAAACGGTTCCCAAACTTGTGATGGCTGGTTATCACGTTTATCCAACTCTCACTAAACAAATTATCCATCAGCACTTGTCATCATTTGACTGGTTTAACCCAGAACTAAGGAACATGTCAGTTTGAAGATGGGCATTCTTTACAATGATAAAACAATACCATTATATAAATGCATGTACAACCATAATACATGTATGATTTATTAAACTAAATTCAACAATTCCAAAGAATGATTATACTCTGTTTCCAGTTAAAGTGAAGAGAGAAATAATGTATAAAGTATTGTTATACCTCTACTTATTTCACACTATACAAAAGTAATTACATAAACAAGCTATTTCCCCTCTTACTGTATGCCAGGGAAATAGTTCGTCTGGAGGGGTAAGATAGTTTTGAAACTATTTCCCTCGGAAAATGCGGGAAATTGAGTGACGTCGTGGGCGGGGCCTGACCGAATATGGACCAATCAGCGCAATCGAATTACGTCGGCAATTTCCGGCTAGCGGAGCCGGTACTTTCTAAACCGACCTACACCTCGCATTGTTGTTGACAGACGACATCAGAAATGGCGACCCCCAGGTTTTCTGTGTTGGACGAGAGCGAGTTATTGGAGGCAAACGACAGTTGGAACACACACAAAAACAGTACAGGCATCCGTTACATTGCTCTCTAGCTACCTTACTGAAAAGGGTTTGGATATCGCGGACATGAAAACGGGCACAGTGGAGAATTGTATGTTAAGTTTTGTTAATAAAGTGTCCCAACTGTTGAAAATTGGTTGTCTTATAATATTTAGAATATTGTAAGGGAGTGTTTGTATCGGTATAATAAAACAGTTGAAGTATGGGTAATATAGCAAGTTTATGATCCCCCTCGTCCAGGACTATTTCCCTCGGCTTCGCCTCGGGGGATCATAAACTTGCTATATCCCTCATACCCATACTTTAACTGTTAACTAATTCTTTCAACGTAATCTTATCCGGGATGACATTTTAAACCTGTAAAATATATATTGAAGAAAGATGAAGAATAACTACAGGAGGTGTTAAGTGCACTGTAATTAGGTCATTCACTTTCACATTGAGGTTAAAAGTCTCATAAGTGTAAAATTTTCTGTGAACTCTTGTCCTGATCATAACTTTTAAACCATGAAATAACGCGTTATATCTAAAATATATCTCAATGACACTCAAAAAGTATCTGCATCATCAATTGAAGGTGTAGTGCACTGTAGTTATTTCAACGCGACCCTTGACCTTGACAAACCTTTTCAAAAGCTAATGTTAAAGGTCAAGTTATACGTCACAGTGACCTAATGCTTGCACCCTGCACTCCATCATCCCAAGATTTCTTATTACACTGAATCTGGTTACTGCCCCGGACAAACTTTTGAAAAGTTCCGGTCAAAGGTCAAAGCATTGCACTCCGCCATCCCACGGTGTCCTTGAACCGGTGGGGGACTAATTAATCACAATTCCTTATCAAGCCATGCAGCAAATCATAAAATTTACTGGATTTAATTCAAAATGTTGGACAGAGACAGCAACCAGTTCAGGCGGCAGATTGAGGATGCGTCGCAGCTGGCCATTTCTGAATCGTGATGAGGGGACCATAGACATTTGCACATTTATAACAAGATACATAACAAATTATAACCGATTCAATTTGCAAACTGTATTGTCATTATGTATCTTTTTAAGTGTATGTACGCTGTACTTACATATCATATCGTTGTGACGTTATCAAAACGTCCCACATAAACGTATCACTGTTTGTACTATTTTGACTTACATTCAATATGTTTTACCAACCTGAATAGAAAAACTTGTATCAAATATTTTTCTATTTCTAAAAACGGGTAATACATAGAATTTTTATTGTATTCACGTGACATTGTTTACTGTAACTTATGTGATGCTGAACTTTTCATCATTATCTACAGAATGTTTCCAAAATAGGTCGTGATGTCTATATCCTTGTGAATGTCTGGCGAGTGACCTTTTATCACGCTAGCTGTAATGAGCCTGTTAATGTGACAGGAGACATCTGGTCAGTGTATACTGGAACACTGTATATATGCTTGTATGTACGGTGTACTTACATAACGCTATGGCTCGGGTAAGTTTGTGAAATGACGCTAATTTACAACTACGTGTCGTATTGATCTTATGGTGAGACCAGATATATTGTTGTTTTGTCGTTAGCATCGTTACCATACATTTCTGTCACTAATGTATTTCTCTAGCTTTGAAACATGACGTACGTTGTACAGTACAGATTTGGGCGACTACTTTGTTTGGTATTTTTTGCATGTTGCTCGAATAGAATGATTATTTTATCTTTACAAATGTCAATGCTGATTCATTTATGGTAACATATTATACATAGAAACCAGTAACAAACATTCATCTACATTAGTACGTAGTGGAAATTATCCAGAAACGTAATCGGAAGTACTAGAGCTCGTCTACCTCTCATACCTAAACGTGTCCTATCAGGAGCATGTCCAAAGATGCGATTTGTAGGCAACCATAACGAATTTCCTTTTCCCTATTTAATTTCAGAGAGAGTTGTTCTGTCCAGTGATTGGCTTTTTGCTCGTGTTTGTGCATTTGAGTTACTCGGCTCCAACAAACGAGACATTGTCATCAAACGATACAGATGTGGAGACGAACACTACAGACAACGGATATGACGTAGACATGAAATACGGTGTCATTCTTGATGCCGGAAGTACTAGTACAAAGGTCCATGTGTACTCGTGGAAGCGGAAGAACCACGAGACAGCCGTGCCACAAATAACGGAAGTGCAATACCGGAAGTATAGACCAGGAGTCGGGGCCTACGCACACCCGGAGCACGAGATGGGAGGTTACCTCACACCTATTTTCGACTTTCTGACGTCAAATGTACCCGCTCAAGCTCATAATGCTACGCCCGTTATGTTCATGGCAACTGCAGGTAAAGGCATCATTAATAAACATTGTACTAAAAAGCAAATTGGATTGGCAAAAAAACGCATTTGTTCTGTATTATGTACATCTAGTTTGAACTGTCATCCATGTTTTTGGCCTTCAACTGCTATGGGGTAGGATGGGGTTTTTCTGCGCACATTATCATAGTCTTCCAAAGAAGGCGTTTCTAAGATAATATTAAGAAGTTGTGTACAAAAATGTAGTTTACTAAACCTAAAGTAACTTCGAATTGAAATAATTAATTTTATATACATTTTGTAAGGTCTCCGTTTATTGTCCGAGTCTGCAGCCCAGTCCATTTTACACGGTGTCCACTCCATAATGTCCAACTCCAGCCTCAACCCCTTCCTGTACGAGGAGCGGTTTGTAAGGATTCTGTCGGGGGAGGAGGAGGGTTTCTTAGCCTGGATATCCGCTAACTATCTCCGTGGATTCTTCACCAACCAGCGGTACTCCTCTTTGTTTTCTTTGCTAGAGACATATAAATATGGTTGCTATATAATTATCAAGATAAGTCTACTGCCAGTAATTGTGGTATTGTTTTCTGCACATGTTTGTTCATTATCAAATTACATTTTTTTAAATCTCGTTTGATCTCATTTTGTCATTAGAGAGGTTGAACACGTACAACGGTAAATCATTTTGTTGTTTGTTGTAGTCCACAAGAGAGTATCGGTGTAATTGAAGTTGGGGGCGGGTCCTGTCAGATCGCCTTCATCCCGGAAGTGCCTATTTACGAGGACAAGATACCGGTACAAATTGGGGGCCTCACATACGAGGTGTATACCCACAGCTTTCTTTCTTACGGGGCGCAGACCATGACGTCACGCATCCGGAACCACCTTGTGCGGCGGAACCAACACGCAATCGCACTGGTGGATCCCTGTATGCTGAAAGGTTGGTCAAACATTTTGGATTGCATCAAGGTCATGTTCGGAGTGGGTTACGTCATGTCTGTATGACTGATAGTATAAGGTATTAAAGCACTGTAATAACGGCTATTGCTTTAACTAAAGGTGACAATGTCGATATTCCAATCTCTTAGTGTCTTCACTTTACGAAAAGCTATATATACCTTTTTGTCTTTTATTACATTTTTCTTTTTTCTCTGGATTGGAAAAGTACATTGTTTGACGAAAAATATGCAGATGAGAGTGCTTATGAAACAAAAAGGGAGGGTTGGCTGAGCTGGAACGCCTAGTGAGTTCTGTGTTCTGCCACTAAATCTCGTTTTGTTACATTTTGTAAAATACTTCAGAAAGATTTTCACAACGACAGTGCCAATCGCCTGCGTCACTGATATAACACGAGGCTATGGTGTCATTGGGTGGGGTAACACAAGTGTTTAGAAATGACAAAGTATATCCCTGATAAGTTAAACAGAAACACAGATACGGTTTCGTAAAGCTATATTTTATAGTTCCGTAAATATATGTCCGGAAAGGCATTTAACGAAGTCCTATTATAAGTCTGCATGGTCTCGTTTCCAGACGACACCTACAACCTCACGAACAATGAAAAGACGGTTAGGATGGTTGGGGGGAGCAACGCCTCTGAATGTCAGAGCGTCCTCCGCCACTACCTAGCCAGGGTGCCCGAGTACATGTGTTCCCCCAAACCATGCACCATCGGGTCGGTCTACGGGCCACCAGTAGGCAACCGGACGTTTATCGCCATGGGCGTCATCTACAACACCGCCAAAGAACTGGGCCTACTGAAGGATGGAGACATCAAACTGGTACCTAGTGAAATGGAAGCCAAGGCAAAGGAGTTCTGTAAACTGGTGAATATTTCGTATTTTTCACGTTATAAAACGTTTTCCAGCATGAAGGGAGTACAAACTGACTTTCTGCATGCATATCGAAAAAGCCCAGCTACGCGCCTGCCTCCCATACCCTCCCCATCCTCGCGCTACGCGCTTGCCTTCGGCAGCACATTTCATCATTGGGCTTACACATTGAAAACCTGTTTGTTACGCCCCTATAACCAGCAGAATTAACCACCTTGTGAAGTAAAATTATGACTAAAGTAGGAAGTAAAGAAGCACATGTTTCATTTAATAAGTCGGTGCAGAAAACTAAAGTGAACATTTGTACTGCTCTATATGTAGTCTACCTACAAGGTCACGACTTATCACTAGAATACATAATACGGAAACGCCTAGTGGAACTTTAGAACATAGATTTTCAACTTTGGAATATGTGGATAAAATAATGGGATATTGGGAAAAGTGTCACCGACATTTCAAGTATATCTACCACTAACACTGCAACGCCGAGCACATCGTATGCGATGGTTGACGGTACATGTGCCCAGACGTTTTCCTATGATACAGGCGTATACGTAGAGGAGAACATTTTTCTGACGCCTGTGTTTTAGAGCATGCCCGATTTGGGGGTGGATCGGTCATTGTTTGGGCTTTCTTATAACACATAACGTCGTCCCTTGTGATTGGCCCCCATTTAGCCCCGATTTGTTACGAAGTAACCTCCCCCAGTTAGTCAATGTACATATCGACGAAAGGAATAACACGTTAGTGATCCAGAGGAGGGCACACACGATGTTAGGGAATGGTTTCATAACTGCCGCCATTTTAACTTTAAGTAACTTGGAGTACTTTATTTCATGACGTTCTGATTAAGACCAGTTTTTAAAAATCCCCTAAAAACTTGTAGCTGGTTAGATCTATATTCAAAGATAACAGTTACATGTGAAATTAAGACAAAATGATTGGAAAAAAAATCGATTATGAATGAATCCTTAAACTTTTTCGATTCAGTATATGTTTAATGTACAATTTAGGCTATTTCTGTCAATATGAGTTTCAGAAAGCTTGATTTAGAAATCTTGACGTTTTTGGATAGAGACTTTTGATGCGTATTGAGATAACTGAGAAGATAATATCATTATCATGTGATTCGGACTTTGATACTTTATCCACGTAAAACTTTATAGTGTATTACTAAAAAAATAAGGTAATCTGGACTTCTTTTATTGTTTTTGGCTATCAGCGATTGTCCGAGGCCTCGGGTCAGTACGGAATAAAGGAGAAATGGGCATCATCGGACTGTCAGAATGGCCTGTACGTGCCCATGTTATTAGAGGCGCTTGGGTTTAAACCAAACACTGCGGCCATACAAACTAAAACCAATGCTGGAGGAATAAAAATTGGTAAGATATGAAAAGGTCTGGTGCACGTACAAGAACAATGGCACTGTTTGACACAACCCACTGTCACTGATACGATTTGTTAAGAAAGTCCCACAGTCTCTTGTTACTACAATGTTTAGATGAATCGGAACTTATCGGTTCACAGGGGAGTTATAGTATTGTTAAAATCGAATAGCAAATATTTTAGCTTTAAAAATAATATATCAACTATGAGATTTTAAAGCATCACAATTTCCATGTGTTTACATGATATAATGGAATGAGTAGACGTTACATCCCTATCGCTAAGTAAACAGTAGCTGACTGCAGCAGAGTTAAGTAAACATTTTACTTGTAGCTGACTGCAGCATGTTGAAATTTCATGATGCAATGACCGATATAATAAGGAGATTTGAATGATTAAACATTGCACGTGTATACAGTTGATGACTATATCTACAGCATGTTGTATTATAAATAATGGCCGATATATATGCCAACCACTTCCTCCACGGATTGATTGACTGACCAATCAGGTGTCGTTGTACTAAATGTGCACGTTCTCAGTCCATCAGCACATGGCTATCTCAGAGACGTATGTATTATACGTCTCTGGCTATCTGCAGTAACATGGCAGTCTCATTTCATAAGTCAACTTACCGCGCTAATGAGGTAACACTACACCGTGTATTCTTATATTCCAGGTTGGAGTCTAGGTGCCATGCTACAAGAAGAAGAAAGGCAGTACCACAGTGACGTCATATAGCACGCCAGAACCACCATGACGTCATAGCTTTGGTTGATTTAAACTAACATGTAATAGGGTGTGTATGAGATAGTTTGGAGACCGCCGACGAAGGACGTGTAATTTACGTAAAGGTTTAATGGTCTACTAGTAACATTACGATTGGGCTGTTATGGAAGTTATCTTTCTTATATGTCAGTTAAAATAAACATGAAGAGTATATGTATTTAGCAGTTCAGAGGTTCTCTCTAAAAAGAGGATATATCTAAGTTAATACTAATTACTTGATGTTAGAGTTTTATGTAATCGCATGAAAAGATAACTTCAGACTTAATGGTTTTACCCATTTTAAACTGATGGGCACAATATTACATAATTCAAATGTGCCACATCTAAACCGCTTTAAAATAATTTTCATTTATATAATTTGTAGAAAGATAAAAAGTAAAAATTATTTAACTGTGACAGTAACCTCAGCGTGTTACCGTTAGTTTATCATATATTTGTAATTTCAATATAATCAAATCAAAGTTTCTGATAATAATCATGAATATGTAAATGTATATCATAATATAATTTGAATGGCTTAACTTAAAATTGAACTTTTAACATTCTTAAACATATTGTAACAGTTGTATTAATTTTAATCGATGGTACAAATAAACATATTGTGCCTGAGGCTGTTTTTTTTGTTCTATTATATATAACGAATTGTGCCCACTGCCGTTGTAGTGCGGCAGCTCCGGGGAGTCTTGAGACCCGGGGCCTGGATATCGCTATGAAGGATCAAGTATAAAACCGAAGTTATGAGGAAATTCTGGTCCGTTGTCCGTAGATAAGTTTGTTAGGCAATACGGAGACAAATCACCGTGAACCAATACTGAGACCAATCGCTACTTAGACCAATCGATGTCAGGAAATATTGAGACCAATCGCTGACGGACACTAATGACCCCAATCGCTGGCAGGCAAAACTGAGACCAATCGCTGTCAGGCAAAACTGAGACCAATCGTTGTCAGGCAAAACTGCGACCAATCGTTGTCAGGCAAAACTGAGACCAATCGCTGTCAGGCAAAACTGAGACCAATCGTTGTTAGGCAAAACTGAGACCAATCGCTGTGAAGAAGGCATGAACCAAAATGTCGATTTTTGATTTGAACGTCAGACTTTTCTTAAAAGATAAAAGATATAACACTTCAGTTGGTTGTTCCTATTTGATATCGGACGTTTTATCGGTTAAATAATTTCATATTGATCGTGGTATTAATTCAGCTTTTGGAGAAGGTAAAGAAATTACTTAATGAAATCAAACCTTTGCATCGTAGCCCCCTACTGAAATGACCTCTCTGATTTTTGGACATTCTACTGAAATGACTCCTCTGATGTTTGGACCTCCTACTGAAATGACCTCTCTGAAGTTTGGACCTCCTACTGAAATGACCTCTCTGATGTTTGGACCTCCTACTGAAGTGACCTCTCTGATGTTTGGACCTCCTACTGAAATGACCTCTGATGTTTGGATTTCGAAGTGAATTGCTATTATGGATTGAAATTACAAGAAATAAAAACTATGGAAGGCATATTTAATAATTCATCAGGTCGATGCAGAAAAACGCACAAACAAAAATGTATTGAGGAAACTGCAGTTCCTGAGGGGAAAGGACATTTGTCAGGTTCACAAACATAGCAGTATCCTGAACATTAAAAAGGTGGTTACAGAGATTGTCCGTTCTGAGATTGGCTACGATCAATCCGGAATGATTGTATCAAGGTCTTATCAGTCGCATTAAAGGTAAACGAAATAAAGCTACGTCTAATGTGATCTGAAACATAATTAAAAACACAGCAAAATGGGAAAGATAATTTCAAAACCATTTGTAACGCTACAAATTTACAACTTTTGATTTCATCAGGGAAATGTGTCTGTCAAACCCTTTGTAACGTTATAATGTTTTTGACTTCGATCGATCATTTATTCTAAATATTCTTAATTTAACATAATCACCAGAAATACGGAGTTAGAAAGAACCGATTTAAAAATCTCTCAAGTCGGTGCAGCAAGCCAAAGTTAACACTTTACTGCAACGAATGACCATGTCGTCTCTTAAGGACTCCTCAGTGGTGCTAGACACCAGGGCCGCTTTCGTTTATCGCGATCCAAACGGTTGGACCGGTCGGACCAGAGTTGTTCGTTTATGAAATTAAATCGGACCTAGAAATCTGATGCTATTTTCAGTCGAGCCTTGATATAGCCTGTCAAGGCCTGTATAAACATTTGCAGGTCGGCCAGGATTTGTTACATTTAAATAATGACAATCCGCTTGTTCCACATATAAACGAACAAGACCAAGGGTAGAGACAACCTCAAGGACTGAAAGTCCATCAGCAGAGTCCAACACACATTAGCCTATAGGAGTCTTAGGATTATTTTGTTTGATAAAATATTTAAAGACGTAAACAACATATACCTGTGACTCAGGTAAAAACCGGAAATCCTTTAGAGAGATCATGTGTTTGACGATGCCACGTAAAAAGCACTGAGATTGAAAACGCGGAAAGTGCAAAATGATAGATAAATGGCACAGAGAACACTGTAAGTCAGAACTAAGGCTTGAAAATAAAAGACAGTTCACATTATAACAAGCTGTTATAGGTCTAAAGAACATTTCTGTCTGTTACGGAGAGAACCATACTGAACAAAAACCTAACCAGATATGTTTTTTTCACAGAAAAGGAACACGAGGAACTCTTGACTTTAGAGACTACTTTGGTTTTGAAAGGCATTCACAGAACAGAAACAACATCTTGCAAACAGGCTAATGCAACACCAATTTTCAAAAAAGGTAATACAATAATACTAAAAATAACAGGCCTTGAGGTATGTTAATTGTAAAATACAGAATAGTCAGAGCTGCATGTAATGGTGAAACGTTGGCGAAGACAGTCTTTTCACATCCCTTCAACACGAGTTTAGAACTAACCAACTTAAACCAGCGAATGTTGTCTATCAATAATTGACAATAATTATAATAATAATTCGAGGTTCTTTATACCGCTAAATCACAACCTAGTTCGTAGGTCGTCTCAAAGCGGTTCACAAATTATTAATCCTTTCACCCCTATGAAACTTTAGTAGACCCAACCATGCATTGATTTGGCAGAGTCCATTATGGTCTACAGTAGCGAAAGGGTTAAACCGTGGTTAAAGGGCCTTTGCAACAAGCCAACTCCCTGGGGAGCATACAGCCGGTGCTGCCATTTCGGCGATCACAGCTAGCATTTTAAAAACAATTCTAGCACTGTCCAACCACGTACTCCTTTACAGCTGAGTAGACTGGAACAAGCGGAGTAAAGTATCTTGCTCAGAGATACAACACAGTATCTTGCCTTGACTCGAACCTTGGTTGTTTCTTGAAGTGTTCGACAGTAAAATGTCAAAATATATTGCGAAAAGGCACGTTTAGAGTAAACTGCAGTTAGATCTAATACATCTGTGTCTGGACAGAAAGTTGTTGATTGAACTCAATACAGACAACAAGGCCAGAAGATGTCGGCAACAACGCGAGTAACAAGAGGCTGCTGTTATCAAGTGGTCACCCACGAGAATGTGCACAGACGTGTAACAAGTCTGAGAAATCTATCATACCCATAGAGAATTAAACAATTAGACTTATCTGTAGGTCGAGGTGTACACGATACAGAACAGGACAGATATTCATAAGAAAAACCCCTCTTTGGAATCTGATTGTAAAAATGCTTAACTTTTACCACAAAACATGGTTTAAGTGATGATACATGTACCTGTTATTTGTATTAAGTCGATCATCTGAAATGTTCACAACAAAGAAAAGATAATCCGAATAAGAAGTGTAAGCAAAACCGTGTTTTGAACTCAAAGTTGATAAAATTATTGAAAACTGTTGAAATTGTACAAGGAGGAATAAACATCTGCCGAGAGGGTTTACGCGTTTTCTGTATATCATTGACAGGCGCTTTGCAAATCTACGTCAAAATAAAAATAATGACAAGGCATCAAAGCGGGAATCGGGGTACTTACGCAATAACAATGAATCAAATACAACGACCTTTATCATACAAGGAAATAACATATTTTCCAAAGTTCCGTATCGACCTGCGTCTTAGCCCGAGTTTCTTCTGGCCCTAAAACCAGACTTAGACAGTTTGACGTATTAGATGTCTGGATTGGGACAAAGCGCACTGCTATATGTAAACGTGTAGCTGGAGCTCGCGCGCGGATCAATGAACACAGGTAAAATATTTATGCTGACTTTAATCCGACCGTGCTGACTTTTATCGGGGCCGTGCTGACTTTTATCGGGCCGTGCTGAATTTAATCCGACAATGCTGAGTATAACCCAACCGTGGTATTTTAAAGTAAGCTTCAGTACAAAGTCAGCATTGTTGGGTTATAGTCAGCATTGTACGAGTATAGTCAGCATGGTTGGGTTATACTACCATATTACGAGGATAGTCAGAATTTAGTAGTCACTAGTGTAGGCCTCCGACACCGTTTGGTATGGGAGAGTTATGATGTGCTGACGAAAAAAATCTACTATGACAAAACACATACCTAAAATATACCGATACCAAACAGTGTCGGAGAATTCCACGTTTTCATATAGCAGTGCGCTCTAGCCCCACACCAGACATCTATATATAAATCAGTGAGTCCATTTCCTGATAGATAAACCTGTATTTTCACCTGTGGTTTCATGTACACATGATCACCAGGAGCAATCTGATTAAAATCATGTTACATGGCTTCGTTAATCAGATTGCACCAGGAGGGATTTATTATACCTGTTAAAAGATGTAAATTTCAAAAATTTCAAAGACAATACAGTATCCACCCTAGCAATCTAATCATATCTTCACATCGTTACGGGAGCGATTTGAAGATACAATTTTAATTAGATTGCCACCTTAGCATCACGTTATCAGGTGAATAATAACCAATGTTAGCATAAAAGCCTGGCATGTATATATATCATTTTTAACAGGTGTTGCCCTTGTACATATGCATGCATACAAATTCACAATAAAAGACAAACAGTCAAATCATAATTCATATTTATGACAAAATAAATCAATATTTAATTGCCAAAATGCTCGCCTAAACTACATGCACGTGAAAGGCATGACACAAACATCAACATTTTAACCGAAAACCTACATTTTTTCCATTGTTTCAGAGAATTTGTTAACACTCGTTCCGCTCGGCCATCACAAAATATAAATACTCTATGTTATGAAATATAACCTGGAATAATACCGCAAACTCAGAAAACTATTTTATAGGGTGGATACTGAGTGGTGAAGAAGAACAAGAAACCCATGTGTTCCGGCATGGTAAGCGTATTCTGTTTCATCGACGACGCCTTCCATGTAAATCAAGGTCAAATCCTAGTAATGTCACGTTCTTGGATATCGTAGTTATGTGCCACCATATCGTTTCGTACCTGAACCCGAATCAACCTACATCAATTGAAATCATATATTGTAAGTTTAGCAGTCAATATCTATCACGGTTAAATTGTTTAAGAATCATCTCAATTGTGGGAAAAACATGACTTTATCTTCGCTTCGGTGCAAGTTTGAATATTATATATTTTATTATCTAAATAGAAAATTTTCTGGTATTCCTTTTTCGATTCCTGTTTTAACCAAAAGAAGTCATTCAGAAATGTAATTTGCCTTTTTTTGTATTGACTATTAAGAAGATAAAAACGTTAAAAGTTCCATTGCATAAACTAATTTTGAAAATTCGTGACCGATAGAAATCTAACTAGCTAAAAGCACAACGAGTCAAGATCTGACGATATGTTAATAGTGGCAAGTAGGTCCAGCACTATGTTCTAAGGGAGGTAACTCCTTCAATTAAACATAATGTCGTAACCAAATGAGATAAACACTTAAAACTACTAGCATAATTTTCTTAAAGAAATCTTTAATGAGTTTATTTTCAATACTGTAGGTATTTTGGAATATTTATTTTACAAGATGTTATTTCATTGCTAGTAATTCATTTTTAACGACAAACAAACCGGACTGGTTTCCGGCTGATAATTGTTGATCAGAATGTGTAAATGATAAAAATAGAGACATTTAAGATTATATTTCGTCATGTTTTATACATAGGGGATATCAATGATATGGGAAGATGAATGCAAGAAGCCAAGTGTTTGAGCTTGTAAGTATGGTATATATTAGATTGCTTAATGAAGTTATTTCCAGTTTGACTAATATCTGTCAGTGAGCTGGTCACTGCGCAATCCTTTGTTATGGATCTGCGCACATTTTCGTCAGCTGTCATAGCATGTACATTATACTTTTTGACTATGTCATTTGGTTATTCGTGATTTAATGCACTCAATGTGCCTATCAGCTACATTATCGTTATCCGTAACTAGGACTCACTCCAGAACCACTTTATACCTCATCAATATGCAGGTATATTCATATACTGGTCAAACGTAATTCACTAGGTACAGTCTGTTTACTGTAGTCTGTGTGTACGTTGATCCTATATCTAGACACTTACTATTTTCACTTGGTAGTCCACATGACTTGTAAAATAGATGAATTACTAGTCCTACGTCAATGTAACTAGTCAAAACAATTTCCTTAGAGCACATATCTACAATATGAAACGAAGGTAATTGACTTAGCTAAAGGGGGCATACAATTATACTGTAATTAAGATATGGTGAAGTTTTTGACAATTTTCATGTGATATATATAGGTTAGTTGATTCACTAGTCCTTGATGAAATCTACTAGTCTCGCACTTGAAGCTAAATGTATGTTAGTGTATTTATCAGAATAGTAACATCTTTTTCATTTAAAGAAACTATGCATTTTGGTGCTAGTTTGCTAAAAGAAAATGTAGAAAAAAACCTGGAAATTAAAATGTCAACAAAAACACTGCTTCAAATCCCCACTGTTATGGTTTGAGAGAAAATCTTTATTGTTAAATGTTTACAAACATTAACATGTAGACAAGTGCTGTTAAATAAAATGATTTTCCTCAACCTCATAATCTCCCTCAAACAAGCACTGAGTGGCTGTGGCTGAACTTGATGTTTGTGTTTTTCGTGTTTTGCAGTCTGTAGAGGGAAGGCAGATAGAGGAAGTGGTCAGCAGTAAGTACATGTATACTATTATAGATAATTAAACTAAGTTTTAATACTTTCATTATCATATGATCATTTTAGAATTCAATCGGATATCATTGTCAATATGAAGATTTGAGGGGAAAAATTGTCTTGTTGTATCTTTGTGTTTGATTGAATGGGTGATTATTGAGAGTCGTCTTCTTTGAAGACACTAGAAGAAACCAAAAAAGACCTGCTTGCATATATGCAGTATCATGTAATTGAGTATTGGGCTAGAACACAGGACTTAAACTGAATAATACATGTTCACAACAGTTTTTATCATAAGGCCAAAAAAAAGTTTTGTGTTTCAGCTATCATCCTTGAAAACTAGGATAGCATTTTTGTTTTTTTGGGGAAAATATTTTTACTATGCTTATGTAGAGTAGGAGCTCTGACTGCAACAGTGCATATCACGAAATGCCAATAAAAACTTTCGCGTAGGTAGGTACAAAAATGTAGGGTAGGTAGGGTTAGCAGAAACACTTTTTTTTGCCTAATAATCACAGTAAAATTTGATTGGCCAAATCAATTAGATTAGCCAAATCAGCAAGTAAATCCTATCACATGAACAATATACATTATCATTCTGGAAATGGATTTGAAATTTGCTTCTCATTGTAGGTGTGTTTCATACTCTGCTTCTCCACAGAACTCTTGGCAAGGTGAGTTATATAGTGACGGCACGCATGATTGTCTTCATAATGCAATTCACTCTTAGGTCTCCATTTATGTCAACAAAAGTTTTGAAAATAGATTTATTGCAAAAATAATAAAAGCATTTTAAAGCGAATTTGGCACAAGTTTTACCAGCTTAATTAACATAAGCCCTTGTTATTATTTTCACAGTCTTACATGTAACAGCTTGATAATAATCGTTACCACAGCCGACTTTTGACCTATTTATATGGTATGGCTCTGTATGATGTTGTTTTGATGGGATGTTAAGACTTAATTGAATAAAATAAAAATCAACATTTTCTTACTTAACTTTATTTTTTGTTATCACATTTTTCTGCATATCATCTAACATATTACTGTCTTATATATATAACGTATATATTTATGAATGACCATATTTTAATCATATTCACTATATTTTCAGTTCCATTACAAACAGGAAGGAAGCTATTCTATAGGTACAGTGGGTGTGGTCGATGTAGACTGTGACTTCCTTGACTTCACTTATGTAAGTTGGTGTATACATAGGTCAATGTATAGATATGTTTATGTAAGTTGGTGTATACATTGGTCAGTGTATAGATATGTTTGAAATGTTTCAGTTAGACATCTTTTCCCAATGACAATTGAAGGTTAAATGCTGATCAGGATACTAATGGTCAATCATCATGCTGCTATTGAATATTTAATCTTTATTTAAATTTAGGTATAACACATCTCACACCTGAACAGCTAGTACATGTGGTTTATATAGCAGTATTTATACAGAGGAACCTCACCAGAGTTTTAGAATCTAATTCCGTACATGAATCAATTACAGGTGAGGGCTGCGTCAGATGACCTGGACTCGTACATACAGAAGGAGGTGAACGTTTTCAGGGACACGCTGAGGGAGGGACCTGGGTGTGGCCAGGTTAGTTAGGGACATTGTACTAACATTCCTGATGAATTTTAGTCAGATTTAGTGAATGCAGTACTAAAGACTTGATTAATGTTAATTATGTCTGTTTGCTCAATCTCTATTTCTATGGTTATGATTTCCCATTTGAAGAATACCTGCAGTCTTTCAGATTTTCAGCCCATCATCATCACATTAAGAACTGTACTAGTAAATACACTTGTATGTGAAACGACAAACTCACTTAAAAGGTTGTCTTTTGTACACAGCAGTATGAAGTTTAAATCAAAAAGTACCTCAAGGTGCATTTATTACTGTTTTCAGGACTATATCAAATAGATCAGAGAGAAGAGAAAAGATCAAACTGACATAGAACTAATAAGATGGTACAATGGTGGGCGCCACGATCCCTTTAGGATCTCTTGTTTTTCTCTTGTTTGCATTTGATTCTTTAAAATATTTGTGATATGAAAACATTTGTGCGCGGGTTATGCTGCTGCGTTTCGTCATATGTTAATGTGTGCATATTTTCCAGCTGATTTTGTAAATGCTAAATATAGAAAGCAAAGCCTTCTTTTCCACTCTATGCAAACTTTAACAGCTTAACAATAGCCACTTCTACTGTATGCTGATTCCTATTGGTACAGCTTACAGGCTGGAATATTCAGGAGCCATTCTGGTGTCCTATGTTGAAGGCTGTGAAAACCATGGTAGCCTGTCTTACTACCTTTTGGACTGTATCAGAATAATTGGACTCTAGATCTTGCCATCATTCACTATCTTTGACTTTGCTGATGAAGCAAGTAAAAACGTTTTCTCCAAATATATGTCTATAGTATAAATCTGTTGTTACTTTGTACTGAGACGACCTTTAACCTTGGTTTTCAGATCTCTCTGGAGTTTTACCAGAAGAAGCGGGCGCGGTGGCCATTCATGGCCGAGTGTATACCGTGGGAGGTTTGGACGGTTAAGTTGGACACACTCACCTTAGCTAATGAGAATGGTGAATATTTCACTTGTTACAATAATAGACTTCCGTTTGGTGATATACATTGTCTCTCGAATCCTGAGACAAGACCTCTTTGTTATTAATACATATACATGTACTACTTATATATCTATAAATACACTTAGGCAAAATATAGGCTAAAAAGGTAGATTTATGTTCTAGAATTTATTTCTTACTTGACCAGCTTTCTCTTGATAACGAGACTGTGAAATTGGCCAAGAGCTGAACATGAATTCCTCTCCAGCATTCAACTTTATCATTGAAACCACATACTGAAATGATTGTTACCGTATAGATATATATATATATAAATAAAACATTAACACAGAAATATAAGTAAAATGATAGATGTCATAATATACCATCAGTCCTGGAGAGTTAGGGTTTTCTGTGGATCATGTGCCCATAAATGGGAAGACAGACTTCACTTCCATAATGATGTTTTCCTACTTCCTCTGACACAGAACGACAAGTGTGTAGAGAGAAGCTAGGTGAGATGCTAGCTGAGAAGGTGATGCATGTAGCTGAGGCCATGAATCGCCACGATTATGTCCCCAAAATGCCAAACCAGTCGGAGCTGGACCTCATATTTGATACAAGTTACAGGGATGTCCAGCCCTACCTGTTCAAGGTGAGTCACTGGTTCCTGAACATAAGGTAGTAACATCAACTGAAATTTACATATTAAAAATGTAAAAGAAAAAGAAAAAACAAAACTACAGGGTTCAAACTTATAACTTATATGCTGCTGAATCTAAAATACACCAATGTTGCTATACAGGAGTGGTAAATCCCCAGGATCCAAATGAGAGATGAATACCTTTAAAAGAGAAATAACTCTAAACCAGAAAGCTCATTTTGGTTGCTTCATCTTCCATTATATGAATGTAATTACTTGAGTTGAAAAACAAACATTTGGTTGAACTCTTCTTTGCAATTATATATGGTGTATGGGCACACTTTATCAAATGATTGATCCCCGATTTCTCTTTCTCATTGAAAAACCTGTGTAATAGTTCTTTGTGTGATCCTTGTCGAAGGTTTAGTGCTAGGTTGGTTTGTATAGTTACTCTTTGCTGTTCAGTTGATGTGTATTGTTACCATGCCTTTATAGTCCTTTGTATAGTAAAAATGACAGGTCAGTTGTAATATGGAAATATGGGGTGACATTTAAATATTGCAATAGATAATTCAATTTGTTGATAATTATTTTTGTTAATTTGAATAATCTGATATGTATATTAATTAATGCAGTTAAGTAAGACAAAAACCTGTAAACTGAGCTCCACCAAGATCAATATTTCTGGTTTCATTAGACAGGTTTTGGTTTGCACAGGTTCATCTGTCATAGAAAGGCCACACCAGAATGTCTGGTATACACAGGTTTCCAGAGCATATAGGGTTTGCTTTAGACTGGCTATATTGTTATGTGTTTTGATTTGTTAAATCTGTTATAAATGACATGAAGTGATTCCTATGATTGTAGATTGCCCACCAGACGACAGGACCAAACCCCACCTCAGTAGGTACCACGATGAGGAAGCTGCTGAAGGACACACTCGCTCTAGATTTATGATGCTCACCTGTCACCTAGTTACCTGTATACATCACACTTTCCTTCAGTCACAGCTTGGACATTGAGGGAAATAAAAGGCTGGTTTGAGCTGGTCATCTTGATAGAATACTGGGATAGTGCTGCAGTAACTTGTGTGACCCATGGTATTATGGTCAGTGATATATCCATACACAAGCTTATGTTTGATTCTGCAGTAAGATGTGACCTTATATAAATGTATGTTGGAGTTGCTTTATACGCTAAGTGGTAGTGAAGATGATTGAAGTCATGGCTCATGGTCAGCTGTATTCCTGACCACACTAAAGTCATGGCTCGCAGTCAGCTGTATTCCTGACCACACTAAAGTCACAGCTCACGGTCAGCAGCTGTATTCTTGACTTAAACACTAAAGTCACAGGTCACGGTCAGCAGCTGTATTCTTGACTTATACACTAAAGTCACGGCTCATGGTCATCAGGATGTTTGATACAGAGTTTGTCGTGGTAGCTATACCAAAGTAAGTTGGCAGATCCTTTACTTTATGAGCATCTTTGAGTTACAATACCATATATTCCCTTTAAAATATTGTGAGTGTGCTGAAAACTGGCTGAATCACTGATGGAGAGAACAGAAAGTGTTGAGATGAGGTTTCCATGGTTACACTTGACCCAGCACTGAAGTCTTGCCTAGAAAAGGTACTCATCGATCATAGAAATATCTTTATTTTATTGCTAGTGTGAGTGTAGGTAGTTTCCCAATAAATGTTCAATTTTCACGGTCATACCATTTTAAATATGATGTTTTGAGTAAATAATTATTTACAAATATATTAAAGTACAGGTTTATCATGCTGCGTACAAGTCATACAATTCCTGACATTCATTTTAATATACATGGTATTGATGAGAAATATTTCACCAAGTCATCTGTAATGTATTTCATCTTTTGAAAATGTATCCACATATTTAAGGTGAAGGTAATTTTAAGGTCAAGATTTGGTTGACTTTGAGCAGTTCCACTGTTCTTTTATATTTTAGCGTGGTACTTCAGCTACCAAACTTCAAATGTTTTTGGTTATTTTTCTTGACATGTCATATTTATTTTAGAGTGAAAGAAAAACAATATTGATCGCCAAATGTCCGTAGTGTACATGCATGCCGATGTGTTCATGTTGTTTTTTTGTCAAAGTCTTACTCATGAATATTTGTGTATAATGTGACATAAGATGAAATAATACTTAAAGATGGGATGTGTTAGTGGATAAAAAGTTGTATCGGTATGTGACACAGCCTAAATGATAATTTTTCATACTTATGCAAGACTAATGGTGACTTGAATTATTCTCATAAATGCAATCATTTCATAAATCAAGGTATTATAAGGATGGGTTTTTCAGAATTTTCTCAGTTAGAAATGCACACATCTGGTATTGTCATCAAAGATTTACCAAGTGCCAATGAAAAACTAGTTTGATTTCGATATCACACCATAGTCAGTGGTTGTTTTATCGACTTTGTAGATACCGGGGTATTACCTAAATTACTTAAATACGAAGACAGGAAATATAATGATCCAGGTGATGGTTTGTTTTGATGATTTAAAAGATCTTAAAATTAGGACTACATGCGATACACAAGTCCTTACAACAGGTGTACTGGTGAACAAAGCTCTATGGAATTATTATAGCATTTGTGTTCAGCAATGTTTTGGTCAACTCCAGAACTGTTGTACAGAGTACCATTAGTTTAAAAATTCAGAAATCCTACAAATCTAGATCCTGTCACAAAACATAACCAGACACAGCCAGAGGGTTGCCTTTGCACATCGGCATACTTAATACATAATATTTATATACCTGTAAGCATTCATAGTAAAGAAAGTGTGTGTCATTTGCCAATGCCCTTGCAGACCATGTGTAAGCGGGAATGTTGAGTTTGTCACAGAATAGTTGATGTGTGATCTGTGATGTATACATGTATACTATGTACCTGATATTAATGTTAATACTGTACGTATTGCTTTGGTGCTAAACAGAGCGTAATATTATACCCAGTTTTCCTGCATATTTTATTACCAAAGTTAGAGTTTAGTGTGGGATATCTGTGATGGTGTGATTACCATGTCTCCTTATGAAAGTGTTTGCAATAAATACATTATCCACCAATGGGGGGGGGGGGGGGGGGGTGAGGAAAACTTAATGAGACAAATTGAAAGTGCTTATATGTATGACTGGTACAAATGTTGAGAGGAAGTCTGCATGTCCATTTTGTTTTGTGGTATATAGTCTGTAACATAAAGCAGTGTAGTCCTGGTTGGCTACTTGTCTGTAAATAGCACGACGACGTTAACATAGAGAACGCATGCAGCACTGCTCTCCTGGTACAGAGGTCATCATTATGATTCCGCTGAAAAACATTTCATATCAGTGTATTTGGTTGTTAATAAAATGATTGAAAAATAAAAAGTATTAAGACAAAAGTGGCATTTTGCTTTTTTTGGAAACGGTGATATTCAGTTCTGCAATTATGTGAGCTACTAATTACTGAGGAAGCAAAGGCCAAGGGCATTTTTATGGCGATCAAGGTCAGGGATATGATGTTGGGGAAAGGGCTACTAAAGAGGTATTGTTTATGAACTAAACCCTGTTTGTCTCCCCTTACACCCTGTTTGTCTCCCCTTACACCCTGTTTGTCTCCCCTTACAAGTATTAGCTAATTTGCAGTTTTTTACAACTTGATCTGTGGATGGTTTATATTTACTTCAAGTTTCTTTAAAATATCTTCCCAGATTAAAATTGATCAGCCCAGAAAATATTTTACTGAAAATTCTGTACTTATTTGACCTTTGACCTAGAGAAAGTTACATTGACCTGAATACAGTACACTGCACACTTCCTATAGGCAAAGCAGGTTTTCAAGCTTAGTCCAGCTATCATCTGTGGTTGACAATTCACAACTCGACTAGATTTATTAAAAACTTGGCCTTATTTGACATTTGACTTTGTGTTGAAGGAAACCTAACTACAGTAACTGTATACCTGATACCCATCTTCTTCAGTTTTCATTAAGACATTTACAGCTTGGGCAAACTTAACACTTCAAATTTTGCACTGATTTCACCTTTGAGCTTCAATGTAGAAATGATTGTCTTACTTACAATGCATTGCACACCTTCGGTTGTTGATAGATATATGTATTTGACTTCCAGTTTTTTCCAATATATCTTCAGTAGTATAAAAAGTTATGACCAGGCAAAGATGCTATTAGAAGGAAGATCAGCACCAAAGCTAAAACCTTGTCTTCCTGATATTTGTATGTATATGCTGTGTCTATATAACTTAACCACCTCTACAATAAACACAGGAAGGAGCTGTTGTAGTGAACATAAGACATCCATTCAGTAAACTTTCTTAGAATGCATCAATATTTCTGATTGTTACATGGGAATGGTTCAAATCCTGCACTGCCTACTCAATAGGACACATACTTCACAGACCTCACTTGCAGCTTCATCACAGCTCACATAAGCATCACCTCCATTCACTTCAAGTATCGCCACAATTCATTTACAGCATCAATAAAGTTCAATAAAAGCTTCATCCTCAGCTTAAAGGATCAACAAAGCTTTTTCAAAAGCATCTCCACTGCTCACTTAATGCATCAACACAGCTCACTTGAAGCATCACCACAGCTCACTTAATGCATCACCACAGCTCACTTAATGCAACCCCACAACTCACTTTACGCATCAACACAGCTGCATCACCTAAGTTCACTTAACGCATCACCACAGCTCACTTAATGCATCACCACAGCTCACTCAACACATCACCTCACTCAACACATCACCTCACTCAACACATCACCTCAGCTCACTCAACGCATCGCTACAGCTAACCGTAACTAAATGCATCACCACTGCTCACTTAACACATCACCACATCTCACTTGACACATCACCACAGATCACTTAACACGTCACCAGAGCTCACTTAACACATCACCACAGCACACTTAACGCATCACCACAACTTCCTTAAGGCATCACTGATATTTTTTTTTTTTTTTTTTTTTTTTTTTTTTTTTTTTTTTTCAT